TATGTCAAAATGCATTCTACTGTAAAATAAATAAATAAGAATAAAATTTAAATATGCTGTGATCAAAATATACTATGTGCATGTTGGAAAACCACCATGTTTCGTGTTGCTTTTTGTTAGTGGAATCTTCTTCTTCTTTTGTAATTTTTAGTTGTGGAAGGACACAATGACTTTATTTTATTCAGTGCCTCGCACAGGCTATGCAAGTGCTCTGTCACTAAGCCACAACCCCAGCCTCCATCCTCAGCATTTAAAAAAAAATTCTGTAGTTGTAGGTGAACAGAATGCCTTTATTTTATCTGTTTATTTTTATGTGGTGCCGAGGATGGAACCCAGTGTCTCACGCATGCTAGGCAAGTGCTCTACCACTGAGCCACAGCCACAGCTCAATCCCCAGCATTTTTTACTTTTTATTTATTTATTTTTAACATTTATTTTTTTAGTTTTAGGTGGACACAATATCTTTATTTTACATTTATGTGTGCTGAGGATCGAACCCAGTGCCTCATGCATGCAAGGTGAGCGCTCTACCACTGAGCTACCACCCCAGCCCCATTTTTTATTTTTTATTTTGAGACAATGGCTCGCTAAGTTGCCCAGGCTGACCTCAAACTTTTGATCCTCTGTGCTCAGTCTCCATGTAGCTGGAGGCCTAAGGCACTGCACCTGCCCCCTCTGCCTTTCTTTTCTTTTTAAAAATATATATATTTTTTAGTTGTAGATGGGCACAATACCTTTATCTTGTGTGATTATTTTTATGTGGTGCTGAGGATGGAATCCAGTCCTCACACCTGCCAGGTGAGTGCTCTACCACTGAGCCCCACCCCAGTGTCCGCTCTGTTCTTCGTGTTCTCTCTTCGTATAGCTGACTCCAGCTCATTTCTCAGGTCCATCTCCTCAGAGAGACCCTTCCTGATCACCCTCATTAAAACAGCCTCGTTTTCTCTCAGAAAAAATTAAAGTCACAGAACCTCTCTCTCTCTTGTTTACAGCCTATCTCGCCTGCTACACCATGATTCTATAAAGGCAAGGATTTTTGTCTTTTTGTCAGGGATGTGTCCCCAGCATTTAGAACAATACAGCACATAGTAGACGTCCAAAATTTTAAAAAATGAATGTGGATATATTATTACTTGAATAATAATAATAATAATAATAATAATAAAGTTATGCGAAGAGGGAACCCTGCTCTTACTCCTACCAGAGAGGCAATAGGTAGGCCCTGGGTCTCAAGTTTCCCAGGAAAGGAGCCAGGTATAGAGTCTAGAAGAGGGGGTTTTCTGTGGGAGATATTTGCTCAGGGCTCATGTGCAAGGGGGAATGGAGAGGGTGGTGGTAGTAGTGGGGGAACAGGGTGATTCAGAGCAGGATGGGGAGTTCATTGTTAGAAATGAGTCTTGGGTGGTGGATAAACAGAGGGTCTGTGCAGCAAGTCATCAGAACAGTGAACTGGCAGCATTCCACAAGGGGAGAAGCTTTGAATGAATATTGCTTAATTTTTAGGACAAATGTATTTATTCATTTATTTGGGTGCTGGGGATTGAACCCAGGGCTTCACACATACTGTGCAGTGTTCTACCACTGAGCTACACACCCTCCTTAGGGGATCTGTATGTAGTGGTTTGGGGGTCTGCAGAATGAAAGTAGATGGGCTGGGGATGCACCTCAGCACAGCACCGGGTAGAGCACTTCCCTAGCAAGACCCAGGGCCCTGGGTTCAATCCCCAGAACCATTAAAGATTTTTTTAAAATTCATTTTATTTTTGGTACCAGGGATTGAACTCAAGGGCACTCAACCACTGAGCCACAATCCCAGCCCTATTTCGTATTTTATTTAGAGACAGGGTCTCACTGAATTAGTTGCTCAGCACCTCACTGTTGCTGAGGCTGGGTCTGAACTCGAGATCCTGCTGCCTCAGCCTCCTGAGCCACTGGGATTACAGACGTGCGCCACTGTGCCCGGCTAAAAAAATAATAATTTTTAAGATTGAATGTCAGTGGTAGAGCGCTTGCCTAGCATGTTTGAGGCACTGGGCACTGTTTACAGCCTATCTCCCCTGCTAGACTATGATTCCATGATCCTCAGCACCACATATAAATAAATAAAATAAAGGTTCATTGAAAACTAAAAAATATTAAAAAAAAATAAAAGATTGAATGTCTGTTTTCTCCCACTCCTTCATGGGAAAGGATCAGTGAATTTTTAGAGCTAAGAGAATTTGGTTGTATAGAGGGTGAGGGTGTGTGTGTGTGTGTGTGTGAGAGAGAGAGAGAGAGAGAGAGAGAGAGAGAGAGAGAGAGAGAGAGAATGAATGAATCTGGGGGAAGATACAGAGAGAGGTAGGTGGGAGGGTCCCTGTGAGACCTGAATGGACCTCTGTGAGGCTGGGCTGGGAGTGACTGGCTGAGCACTGGGGGTTTATGTATCAAAAATAGGGTCTTTAGCAGGGCTCAGCACATGCCTGTAATCCCAGCTACTCAGGAGACTGAGGCAGGAGGATCTCAAGTTTGAGGCCAGCCTAGGAAATTTAGGGAGACCCTCAGCAATCCAGCAAGACCTTGTTTCAAAAAAGAAAAAAGAAAATGGGAGTCCCTGGGGAAGCAGGAATGGATCCATAGGAAAGGAAAATAGGAGGCCCCCGAAAGGTGGAAATGGGGGGGGGTCTTCAGCCATGGAGGAATCTGAGGTGATAGGGGATTTTTTTTTCAGTGTCACAAGCTTTTTATTATTTATTTATTTTATCTACACATGACATTACAATGATCTTGGCAATTCATACATTTGTATCATTGGGGTATAATTTCTCATTTTTCTGATTGTACAGATTGCAGAATCACACTGGTCATAGAGTCACCTATATACATACATCAATCATAATGTCTATTCTATTCTGCTGCCCTGATTAAGCCCAGGCAGTGATGGGAAGTTACACGAGGAGAGACCGGTGGTGGGGAAAGATGGGGGCTTCCGCGGGAGGGAAGTCTGTGACAAGGGGTGGAACCTGGGTCGCCCAGTTGGGGTTTGCGGGAGTCCTTGTGACAGAGTCGAGTGGTCCGCGTGAGCTGGAGCTGGTGTTGCAAAGTTGGGATGGGAGCAGGGTCGGGGTGTCGGTGGGGGGTCTGGTCTGGTGAGTGGTTCAGATAACAGGGCGGGAGGGTCCCGTGGGCGCGGCCCATTGAGGTCCTCCATGGAGGTGGGGAAGGGGCCCGGAGGCGCCAGACACTGCGCCACCGGGGCGAGATGCGGGAGCCTAGGGACGCTGGGGTCCCGCCAGCAGTGGCCTGGTGCGGGGGCCGGGGGCTCGGCGGCGGCTCTCGGGCGCCCCCTGGCGGCCCCAACCCCGCCACCGCCGCTGCTCCCACAATGCTCGCGTAGCCCCGCTTGGGCTCCCGCGGCGGCGGCGGCGGCTCCAAGATGGCGCAGGCGATCTTCGAGGCCCTGGAGGGTGAGCAGCTACGGGGCCCGCGGAGGCGGCTGTTCCGCGCTGCGCCCCCTCCCGCCGCGCCCTCGCAGCGCCGGGCCCAGGGCGCGCGGCGGCCTCGGGGCGGAGGGCGCGGGGCCCGGAACAGCCGCGGGGCGGGAGGGGCGCAGGCGAGAAGAGCCGCTGGAGCCGCGGTCCGGCGGGGAGGGCGCAGCGGGACCGGAACAGCCGCGGGAGCCGAGGCCTGGCGTGGGCACCGGTCCCCGAACAGCCGTCGAGAGCTGGTCCAGCGGGGAGGGGGCCGCGGGCCCGGAACAGCTCCAGCCTCAGGGCCTCGGGCCGGCGCGGGAGGGGTGTCCGGGCGGGAACAGCCGGGCCGCACCGCTGCTCCGCAGGACCCGGGCGCGGAGGGACGCGGTGCAGGAGCCGCTGACCCGCGCCAGGGCTTGGGCAGCTGGGCCAGCGCCCTGCCCATGAAGAGCTTCCCTGTGCGAACTGTGCCTCGTGCTGGCACGTAGTCCCTTATATGCAGACTGGCAAGGGAGAGGCGCCATCGGTGTGCAGGCTCGAGACTAGCAGTTCACAGACCCAAGCCCGCACACCTGGGCTTCTACCGCGTGTGCCCTGCTGGGGCACCGACTGTTGCACACTCAGACCAACACACGATGCCCACCGGCATGTGCCTGGCGGGATGCGGTGCTCTCAGATCCAAGCTGTAAATACTGGGTGCCCACTGACTGCCCCTTGATCTGCAGGATCCCGGGATGGAGAGTGGTTCTTAGCCTCAGAGAATCGGAGGCTTCAGATACAGCAAACTTGGAGCGCTTCCGTGTGCACCTGCTGGCATCAGGGGGCAAGGGTAGCCTTAGCTACCCCGGACCAGGGCACACAGTAGACCCTGGGGGAAATACAGACCCTAGAATGATGAGTAATTGGCTAGAATGCAAACGGAAGTGGATTGGGCTGGTGGGGCTGGGGTGGGGTGAGGTGGGGTGGGTGGTGGGAGGAGACTTTGAGTCCTGCACCTCCCTTGGAAATCTGGGCCACTTGCTTTACTTCTTGAACGGTTAAGAGTTCTCACCATGGAGGGGGGTTCAATTTCAAGAATAGTCATTGAGCCAGACACACTTCCCATCTGCACCCCCCAGTCTAGTGGTTGTGGTGGAGAGAGACATAGAAAAAGCAATTGTAGAAATGATAGAATTCTAGAAAAGGTAGATGGTGAAAGAAGATCTCAGCTGGCCATTTGTGCAAAATGAAGAAAATAGGGGTGATGGATGTGAAGGGTGAGGGTCAGTGGGGGTTCTGTGTGGGAGGATAAGAAGATGGAGTGAGGCCTTTCTCTTTCATCTGCACTATTAGAATGATAATTACAAGAATTAATTTGTGTATTGAATAAAGAAGAAATTAAAAGAGAAATCAGCTGGGACTAGAGCTTGTGGTAGAGGAGGGTCATGCACAAGCTCTGGGTTCAGTTCCCAACACCAAAATATAAATGAATAAGTAAAAGAGAAATCAGCCCCTAGGACATCACCATGCCTGCTGGGCGAGGGAAGGGCAGCAGGCCTGAAGATCCAGGGGAGAGGGTCATCTGAATGACGCAGGCAGTGGGAACTGCATTTGCAAAGCTCTCCCCTGGTTTCTCATGCAGGGGAGCAGCTAGAGAAGAGGCTTCCATTGGTTTGATGAAGCTTCTGAACTTTATCTTGGGATCAGTGTGGAGCTAAGAAAAGATTTTCAGCAGGGGAGCCGCACAAGCTAATGTATGTTTTATAAAGTTCACCATGGCCTCTGCGGGAACAGACTGGAGGGGGCCAGAGTGGCTCTTGGGAGGTGAGTGAGGACTCTGCCCAGAGTCAGCTGAGAACTGATGGTGGCCCCGGCCAGGGGACAGCTGAGGGGATTGAAAGAGTGGATCTGAGACAAATTTGGTAGCTAGGTTTGCTAAAAGACCAGAAAGTGGAGGAGGGAGCAGTAGGTAAGGAAAGAATGAAGGGGTGCCCAAGAGGCATTTTGGGAGTGGTGCTCTATTCTGTCTGTGTGTGGTACTGGGGATTGAACCCAGGGATGCTCTACCACTGAGCTGTATTCCCAGCCCTTCTGTATTTTTTTTATTTTGAAATAGGGTCTTGCTAAGTTATTTAGGCTGAACTGAAACTTTCTATCTTCCCTCAGCCTCCACAGTCTCTGAGATTATTGGTGTGTGTCCCCACACCCAGTTGAATCCCACTATTATTTAAAATTATAATGCACCAATTAAAAAATAATAGAATGATCCCCCATATCCTATACCCAGTCTCCCCCAATGGTAACATCTTGTAACACTAGAGAATATCACTGTCAATCAACACAAAACAGTTCTGTCACTACCAGGTGTTGTCCTTTTCTAGCCACATCACAAATCCTTCTTCCATTCACATCATCCTTGACCCCTGGCAACTGCTAATCTGCTCTGTTTCTAAAGTTTTGTCATTTAAAGAATATTATAGGGCTGGGGGGTAGCTCACTGGCAGAGCACTTGCCTAGCATGTGCAAGGCCCTGGGTTCAGTCCCCAGCACCCACACACTCACAAAAGAACATCCTATTAATGGAATTGTAGAATATATAACCTTTGAGACTTGCTTTTTTTCCCACACATCTCAGTTGAAGGTTGATTCAAGTTGTTGTGGCTATCAATAGGTTGTTCCTTTTCTTTTTTGGGGAGGGGTAACTGAGGGTTGAATTCAGGGCACTTGACCACTGAGCCACACCCTCAGCCCTATTTTGTATTTTATTTAGAGACAGGATCTCACTGAGTTGCCTAACACCTCACTTTTGCTGAGGCTGGCTTTGAACTTGCAATCCTCCTGCCTCAGCCTCCCAAGCCACTTGGATAATAGATGTGTGCCCTTTTGCGTGGCTAGTTTTTTCATATTGCTGAATATTTCATGGTATGGATGATCCAGTTTAACCATTTGTCCACTGGAGGGTCTTCTGAAATGTTTCCAGATTTTTAAAATCATGAGTAAAAGTTCTGTGGGCATTCATGTACAGATTTGTACCCAGATTCTAAAACACAGTTTTGCATCCCGCTCAGGGACAGGATAGGAAAGAGTCCAGACAGAAGGAACCTCTGGAAATAGCAATGTTTAGGGAGCAGACAGGAGAGGAAAGGAGGTGTGTGCTAGATGGCTTTTTATAACTATGATGAAATGCCTGAGATAAACAGCTTAAAGGGTGAAAGATTAATTTAGCTCATGATTCCAGAGGTTTCAGTCCCTAGTCAGCTGGCCCCATTGCTGTGGGCCTGTGATAAGGCAGAACATTGCCTCACTACATCTTGGCAGGGAGGGCCAGGGACAAGAATGTATTCTTTGCAGAGCATGTCCCCAAGGACGCACTTCCTCCCACCAGGCCCCACCTCCTAGTTTCCACCCCTTTCCAGTAGTCCATTCAAGCATGAACCCATCAGAGGTTAGTCTGTTAATGAGATCAGACCTTCATGATCCAATCACTTCCCAAAGCCCCACTTCTGACTATTGCTGCATTGGGGACCATGCCTTCAACACATGAGGCTTTGGGGGATATTCCTTATCCAAACTACAGCAAGTCCCCAGAAAGGAGGAGGAGACCTTGGAAGGGTGGTACCTGGAGCCAAGAAGGAAGTGTTCCATGGCGTGTCTGGATGCTGCCAGGTGGTCTTTGGTGTAGGTGGAAGCTTAAGTCCCTCTGGAGCAGGAGGATTGGAAGGTAGGTAGATGAAGAGCAGGACAGCCTTCAGCAGATGCTTGATAGTGAAGGGAAGACAGATGGGAACAAAGAAGGCCAGGGTGCCCGGATGCAGACAGACTTTGAGATATGCGGCATGGGTGAGAAAGATTTCCAGAGGGGCTCCACGGTTTAGGATTAGAGGTAGCCATCAGTAAGAGAGGAATCCAAACTAGCAGTGACGGAAAGAGGCTGGAACATTGTTTGTTTCATGGGAGAATCCAGCGGAAGTCAGTTTGCAGTGTGAGGATGGCAGGTACAGGCTTCTCACAGGCCCAGAATCTTTCCAAATCTCTCTCTCTCTCTCTCTCTCTCTCTCTCTCTGGTGCCAGGGATTAAACCCAGGGTGCTTAACCGCTGAGCCACCTCCCCAGCCCTATTTTATATTTTCTTTAGAGACAGGGTCTCACTGAGTTGCTTAGCGTCTCACTTTTGCTGGGGCTGGCTTTGAACTCTCAATCCTCTTGCCTCAGCCTCCTGAGCTGCTGGCATTACAGATGTGTGCAACCGTGCCCAGCAAATCTTGGGATCTGTTACAGGGCAGTAGGAGAGAACATCTACTGGGCGCTGCCAGCTGTCTCTACCCTGGCGTTGCAGTGGGTCTGGCTCGGGAGGATGAAGACAGCAAGGTCTGGGCCCACTTTCCTCAGAGCCCGTGTTGTCTTTTTCAGGAATGGACAATCAGACTGTTCTGGCCGTCCAGTCACTGTTGGATGGCCAAGGAGCAGTCCCTGATCCAACAGGCCAGAATGTCAGTGCGCCCCCTGCCATCCAGCCATTGGGTGAGTATCTGCTCTACCCACCAGTGGAGAGCCAGTGGCTCCGAGCTTAGGAAGAGCACGTAGAGCTCCTGAGGGGGCGTGGGAGTAAACTGTCACTGGGTCCCCAGGATATCCCTGGGAATCTGAACCCTGTCTCCCACCCTCCCAGCCTGGACCTTCAGGTTTATTCAGGCCTTCTCTGCGTAGCTCTGAGGACGCTCTCTCACTTACTTAGTGGCTGTGGGAGCCCGATGCTGGGCAATGCTTTTCATTTTCTCTGGAAGTTGTTTCTCAACTCTCCAGAAACAATAGGCTGAACATGAATGTCTTCAATTTAAAGACCAAGTCCCTAAGACACAGGGAAAAACTCTGTTGCAAGTCCTTATGTGAGACTGCATGTTCATTTATTTCTTCCACAAACATTCTTAAGCACTTAGGAAGCACTCTCGGGACAAAAGGATAAAAACCTGGTTTGAATTTTGTGTCCATAGTCCCTGGCTCTGTGGCCCTGGCCAAGTGAATCAACCTCCTTATGCGTCGGTTTCCATGTCTGTTAAATGAGGATAATTGTCCTGTTTCATAGGAACCTTATGAGAGTACTTGGGACTTGGTTTCAACTGTTGTAGATGAGAAAGGAAAGTTTCTTATGGTTTTTAGAAGATTAACTTTATCTCTCTGTTGGGTGAAGCCCTGGTGGGCATTTGAGGTGAGTCTGGTGATTTCTTTCTGTGGATCTGCTGTCCTCACGTGCAGTCCAGGGTGGCCACCCCACCCAGCTCCTACTGTGGTCACCACCTCCCGGCCAACACAAAGGGAAGAAAGAAAGAAGTGGAAATCAAGCCTTTTCCTTTTAAGGGGAAGTTGCACATACCCTACATTCTGCTGTCATTCTGTTGGTCAGAATTCAGTCACATGACATGCTGCTACAAGGCAGGCTGGGAAGTCTGTCACTCACTCACACCTTTAACTAGGAAGCCATGTTTCCCACTAATTTTTTCCTTCCTTCCTTCCTTCCTTCTTCCTTCCTTCCTTCCTTCTTTTGTAGTGGAGATTGAACCCAGGGACACTTAACCACTAAGCCACATCCCAGCCTGTTTTATTTTTTTATTTGGAGACAGGGTCCCATAGAGTTCCTTATAGCCTTGCTAAGTTACTTAGGCTGGCTTCGAATCTGTGATCCGAGCTGCTGGGATTATTATGTGTCACCATGCCTGGCTCAATTAACTTTTCATTTATTCAACAAACATCCATTGAGGACCTCCTAAGTGTCCAGAAGATACCCCAGCTGTGGTGATAAAGAAGACACATTTCTTTCCCTTAGGGGACTCACCGTTTGGTGATGATGAGAAAGCTAATATATGAGAGGTGAACCCAAAGGAAGGAACTCTGGCCAAGGGCTTTGGGAAGCCTTCCTGGAGGAGGTGAGCCTTGCAGAATGAGTTGTTCTAAGAGAAGCAGCTCAGCAGCGGGCAGTGTGCTCACCTGGTCCATTTGGAGACAGAGGAATAAATTCAGGCAGGATAAAGATTCCTAGCTGGGTGAAGTGGCACAAGCCTGTAATCTCAGGGGTTTGGGAAGCTGAGGCAGGAGGATCGTGAGTTCAAAGCTAGCCTCCGCAATTGAGTGAGGCCCTAAGCAACTCAGTGAGACCCTGTCTCTAAATAAAATACAAAAAAGGGCTGGGGATGTGGCTCAGTGCTTAAGCACTCCTGTATTGAATCCCTGGTACCAAAAAGGAAAAAAAAATATGAAATTATCAACTTTGAACTGAACCCACTCTATTATTTCCTGGTGTCTAATGGTTTGCTACCTAGCTGCACATGGCTGGCTCTTCCCACAGGAGCCTGTGTAGCTCCCAGGAAGCTCCCGGTTGATGTTCGACATACTCAACAAATCGCGAATGCTGTCCAGAATTGCTGTTCTCTCTGTTCTGCGGTCTCCCACTCTTCACCATGATGCCCCTGACTTAATCTTGCTTTTTTTTCCCCCATTACTCAATCCCTCTATGGTCCCTTCCTGCATCTGGGTATGACCCTTAGATGATGAGGATGTCTTTCTCTGCGGAAAGTGCAAGAAGCAGTTCAATTCGCTGCCAGCCTTTATGACCCACAAGCGAGAACAGTGCCAGGGGAACGCACCTGCCCTGGCCACTGTCTCGCTGGCCACAAACAGCATCTACACGCCTCCAGCAGCACCTGCCACAGTCCAGCAGGCCCCGCCTCCTGCCAATCGCCAGGTATTCATTCACTCATTTATCTTCCCAGCTTTTTTTTTTTTTAAGCTAGGTCTTGCTGTCGCCCAGGCTGAACTTGCCAAGCTGCCTGAGTTGAGCTGGGATGACAGGTGTGTGCCACCACATCTGTCCCAGCAGATCTTTCCAAGCACCTACTGTGTGTCGGGCACTGCTGGGCCCAGGAGGTACATCAGTGGATAAAACAGATCAGGTCACTGCTCTTGTGGAGCTGAGTGACACGGGTAGTATGCAAACAAATACGTGAAGCTGTACTTCCTGTGTTGAGTGTGGAGCTAGGGGACGCCAAGGCAGAGTGGTACCTGGGGAAGGACTCTGTGGAAAGGTGATATGTGAGCAGAGACCCAAGGAGGTGAGGGGAAGAGTGTTCCAGGTGAAGGGATCAGCAGGTACAAAAATCTGAGGCAGAGTGTGCCAGGTCATTCCAGGTACAAGGAAGGGACAGCGGCTGGGAGAGTGAGGAAGACGGAGGGTGACAGGGGCCGCAAGAGGGGCCTGGCAGGTGGGTCGGCCTTGTGGGCTTCACCTGGAGTGAGATGGGAAGTGCCAGAAAGCTTTGAGCAGCAGAGGGGTGTAGTCTGACTTATGCTCTAACCAGGTCTCTCCAGCTGCTATCGAGAGATTAGATTCTGACAGGTAGGAGAGCAGGAGGCAGCCGTGACAGCAGTTAGTTCCAGGCAGTGGGCGGCGCGGCTGGACTAAGGTGGTGCCTGAGGACGGGGTGAGAAGGAGACTTGGGAAATATTTTGAAGGTGTTAACAAAAGGGTGTGTAGGCCAGTTTAGTGAGGAGTGTGACATAAAGAGACATAAAGAGGAGTCAAGGGTGACTTGAGTTGGAGTTGCATCGTCCAAAGTGGGAAAGCTACCAGGAGAATATTTCAGCAGGGTATTAGGAGTTCATCTGGACGAGCTCTGGGAGCTGTAGAGGGAGGCAGTGTAGACTGTGCAGACCCCAAGGCCGAGGTCAGAAGGCGGGCAGGCTGGAACATGGTTCTAGAGCAAGGACATCCTGGTGGGGGCCTGGGTTAAAGGATCCCTTATGAAGGAGGCTGGGCGTGTCTCAGGAAGAGTCAAGGAGCTGAATTTCCCTGTGGTTTCCTCCTCTCTCCTTACTCTTTTAGAATCTCTCAAAAATTATATGGACACAGTTCTGCCATCAGAAAGAGCATTCACCCCCAGCCCACTGGGACATGCAGACTGAAACTTTTCAAATTGCCACAGGATCTCCTAGCATAGGACACAGTCATTTCTCTAACTCCTCGATTATGAGTTTTACTAGAAGAAAATATTCCCCTCCCCTACTTTTTTTTTTTTCAACAAAAAAAGAGAAGAAAAATTCTTTCTTTCTGTTTTTGTTGTTTGTTTTTAGTATTGGAGATTGAACTCAGGGGTTTTTACCATTGAGCTACATCCTCTATATTTTTACATATTGATAGATCTTTTATTTTATTCATTTATTTATATATGGTGCTGAGGATCGAACCCAGTGCCTCACACATGCTTGGCAAGTGCTCTACCAACAACATTTTTTATTTTATTTTATTTATTTACTTTTAAAAATTTATTATTATTATTATATTGGTACCAAGAATTGAACCCACTACTTAACCACTGAGCCATATCCCCAGCCCTTTTTTGTATTTTATTTAGAGACAGGGTCTCACTAAGCTGCTTAGGGCCTCACTAAGTTGCTGAAGCTGCCTTTGAACTTGCGATCCTCCTGCTTCAGCCTCCCAAGCTGCTGGGATTACAGGCATGTGCCACCGCACCCAGCCAGTTTGACGCTTTCTTGTAAGATCTGCCTGTCCCCTCACTATTGTAAGCATGATATTTTAATTTTTATTGATTTGTACCTTTGCTGGTAATATAGACCTTGCCTCCTACTTTCTATTTTTAAAGTATTTTTTAGTTGTAGATGGACACAATATCTTTGTCTATTAATTAATTTTTGTGTGGTGCTGAGGATCAAACCCAGTGCCCCACACGAGTGAGGCAAGTGCTCTGCCACTGAGCTACAGCCCCAGCCCCCTTGTACCTTTTGAAAGTTAGAAGGTTACAAATCAAGACTCGTTTGGTGCTGCTCCTCTCCCCTGCCCCCAGGTTGCTGTTGGCAGATATCCTTCATGATCTAAGGTACATTCAAATATTTTATTTAAGTAACTAAGGAATCATATGCTATTGTTTTAGATTTTTTTAAAATAAGAACACATAATCTTCGTATTATATGCAATTTTATTTTTTATGCCATACAGTATTCTATTCCAGGAATATGATGTTATTTAAAAAAAATTTATACCTTTATTTTATTTATTTCTTTTTATGTGGTGCTGAGGATCGAACCCAGTGCCTCACGTATGCTAGGCAAGTGCTCCACCACAGAGCCCCAGCACCGGCCCTGTGGTTATTCCCCCATTGGTGGACATTATTTAGTTTTCCACTGTTGGAAACAGGCTGTGTGGCCGGCCCAGTGGCATACACTGTCATCCCAGTGATTGGGGAGGCTGAGGCAGGGGGATAGCAAGTTCAAAGCCAGCCTCAGCAACTTGGCAAGACCCTGTCTCAAAAAAGAAAAAGGGCCAGGGGTGTGGCTCCGTGGTAAAGAATCAAGGCTCGTGGGAGCCTCTCATCTGGGCTCCCTGTGCAGCGTGTGAGCGGTTCCCTGGTCTAGAAACCGGAAGTGTTATTGCTGGATCAGAGGCTTGTACTTTGCAGAGAGGTGTCAGTTATTCTGCTTTGGGGAGGACTGAGCGGAGAGGAGGAGGGCCAGGGTCACACGGTCGGGTCTGTGGGACTCGGGAACTTGGATATTTCCCTCAGCTTCCCTGCAGAGCCTCAGACGTGTTCACACATCCCTCCTGTCTGTCTGTCTCTCTTGCTGCTCAGATCTCCACGTACATCACAGTGCCCCCGTCCCCACTGATCCAGACCCTGGTGCAGGGCAACATCTTGGTGAGCGATGACGTGCTCATGTCCGCCATGTCAGCCTTCACGTCCCTGGACCAGCCCATGCCCCAGGGGCCCCCGCCTGTGCAGGTAAGGAGACCACGGGCTTCTCACAGGGTCTTTTTCTTGCTTTGTTCTTTGTGTTTATTTGTAGTCTTGAGGATCAAACTGGAGACCTTACACACGCTAAGCAAGTCTCACTGGGTCTTGTCTCCAGGCCTGTGTTCAGTACCTTGTAGAAAAAAGGGGGCTTGGGCCGGCCTTCTCCATGCTGAGGGGGCCTGTCAGCCTCCCGCGGCCAGCCTCACTGCCGTGAGGGAACCGCCACAATTTGGCTATTTTGACTCCTGCTTTTGTTTTTTAAAAGTGTCCCTTGTCAGCTGGGTGTGCTATAATCCCAGTGATTTGGGAGGGTGAGGCAGGAGCTCACAAGTTCAAGTCTCTGCAGATGTAGCTTAATCATAAAGTGCCCCTGAGTTAAATCCTCCCGCCCCCAAATATTAGAAGATACACCGGGGCTCCTTGGGATTTTTCTAATACCCATAGGCGACCGACCACCGTGACACCAATTCCAGACTCCCAGGAGGGGCGGAGATGCTCCCAGTAAACCACACTGTTGGTACAAAGCGTCTAGATGAGCTGGTACTGGCACAATGTGGTCTGTGCCGCTGGCGGGCAGAGCAGCTGTATCAGCCAGGAGTGTCCCAAAGCTGCGTTCTCAGGTGCCCGTCAGAGCCAGCCCTGTAAACAGGCCTCCTTAAGATGGCAACATGCTGGTCGGTTTTGCTGATGTTCTTAGAAAAAAGAATAGCGGCTCCAGGCTGATGCCCCCTCAGAATTCTTCTGGGACTTTGTTTCCCTGTCCCCTCTGAGGTCCCTGTGAGTCGTTCCCGTCCCCTGAGGAGGCGCAGGTACACAGTCTTCCTCGTCGATGCTGCTGGCAGCCAGCAGCTCTAATGCTTTGCTTTGCTTTGCTTCTGATTTCAGAGCAGCCTGAACATGCATTCTGTGCCCAGCTACCTCACTCAGCCTCCGCCACCTCCTCCACCCCCACCACCTCTGCCGCCACCTCCACCCTCACAACCCCCGCCACCCCCACCCCAGAGCCTGGGCCCCCCCGGGCGTCCCAACCCTGGTGGCAGTGGCGTGGTGGAGGTGTACAGTGCTGCTGCGCCCATGGCTGGGAGTGGGACGGTGGAGATCCAGGCCCTGGGAATGCAGCCCTACCCGCCACTGGAGGTGAGCCAGGGCAGGGAGGGGTGTGGGGAGCAGGGCATGGCCAAGGTCTTTCCTGAGCACCGGCTGTGTGCCAGGCTCTGTGCTAGGGCTGTGGTACCGTGGGATACTGAACCAGACCCACCCTGGCCCTCATGGGAGATGCATTGTGGGAGAAAGCTGGACCTCGATAGAAGCATCATAGCCACCGATGGAAAACGCGACTGGGGAGGTGGGATGAAGTAGAGGTCGAAGCAGAAACACTAGCCCTGCTCAGGGGCAGTTAGAACGGTCAGGATACTTGCCTTTGGGGAGAAGATCCCCCCAAATTATCAGCATAACTGTCTCGTTCTTTTACAAGTGAGATGAATCAATTATCTATTGCTGTGTAAGAACCCCCCAGGACCTCAGTGTTTAGGTCCAAGTGCTCACACCAGTCAGCCAGGCACCTCTGCTGACCTTGGCTGGGTGTCAGCTGCCCTGGGATGGCCTGGACTGCGACAAGGATGAGACTCAGCTCTGCTCTTTGTGGCTCTCATCCCCCTGCGGGTTCTCCTGGCCGTGGTGGAGGCAAATACACAGAAATGCTTGAGGCCACTCTAAGCTTAGACCCGTAAGGACACGAGTCATTTCTCCCAGCCACAGTAGGCTATGAGGCCAGCCTAGATTCAGGGGACCGACCTGATGCCGCTTCTCAGTGGGAAGAGCTGTAGAGTCATCCTGCAAAGGTCCAGCACAGGTGTGGGTCCAGGGAGGGAAGAGTCGGGGCCACGGCACAGTCAGTGTGTCATGAGCAGTGGTGGTCACCTGATTGCTCAGGAAGGCCTTGAGTGATAGGTGAATTCGTGCCTGGGACAGATATTGATCGAGTGCAGTCCTGGTCAGGGTCGATCAGGGAAGTGCACACCACACTGTGCGTTTCTGGCAGAGGGATTTAATACAGAAGGTAGGTGTCTTCAGCGCTGGAGGAAGGGCTGCAGAAGCGCCACTGGTTTTCAGGCCCGGCAGCCCAGGGAGCCAGGGTGTGGCTGCTGCGCCCTGATGCCAGGGGCCCATGGGGCGTGGAGTCTGCTGCTGCCCGAGGCCTGGGGCATGGGGCCTGGGGAGCAGGAGGGGCATGTTGAGCGGGGTCAGCGGCTCCTTTGCTTGTGACTTGCACAGCCCGCCCTCTCCCACGTGGCTGCTGGACAAGGCACTCTCTGCCCCACTGTGCATCCAGATCTCATGCAGAAGCTGCTGCTGGGCAGAACCTCGTCTTAAGTTCAAAACCTTGCTCTCCAGGGAGGTGCATTTCCGGGCTGAGCCTGGGCCCTGTCGGGTGCCCACTGAGCACTTTAGGGAGGGCGCTCGTTCAGCAGACCGTTATCAAACCCCTGCTCAAGCCAAGCATGGCTCTGAGCCTGGGCCTGGAGTAGGGAGCAGAACTCCCTGCCCTGTGGAATGAAGCCGGACAAACAGGAAAAATGTCTGATTTTAATTGACTGAACCCAGGGCACTTTACCACTGAGCCTCATCCCCAGCCTTTTTTATTTTTTATTTTTTAATTTTTTTAAAAAATATTTTTAATTGTAGATGGCCACAATACGTTTATGTTGTTTATTTATTTTTTTTTTTATGTGGTGCTGGGGATCAAACCCAGTGCCTCACACATGGTAGGCAAGTGTTCTGCCACTGAGCCACAACCCCAGCCCTTTATTTTGTATTTTTGAGACAATATCTTGCTAAATTGCTTAGGGCCTTGCTAAGTGGCTGAAACAGGCCTCAACCTTGCAATCCTCCTGCCTCAACCTCCAAGTTGCTGGGACTACAGGCATGTGCCACCACCATTCCTGGCTCAGAATTTCAGATAATAGTAAGTGTAAGGAGAAAAATAAAGCAGAGAGGGATAGGAAGTGTCATTTTGGGTAGAATATCCCAGAAAGACCCATGAATGATATGCAAACAAGTTCTTCACAATGTGCCAGTCATGATCCCGGCTTAGTTAACTCAGTTTTGTGAATGACTCAGAATTCATTCAGCAGCTTTCTGTGGCATCAGCATCGGCTCCCAGTTGACAGGAGGCTGTTACTGCAGCATCTGGTGGTGTTAGTTAGCTGTGAGGACACAGGCCCTTTGGGCTTCCTGTGCTAAAACTATCACCAAGAGCAATAATAGCTGGGTGTGGTGGCACACTTCTATAATCCTGGTGGCTCAGGAGGCTGAGGCAGGAGGATTGCAAGTTTGAAGCTAGCCTTAGCAACTTAACAAGGCCCTCTCTCAAAATAGAACATAAAAAATGAAAAAAAAAAATAAAAAATAACTGGAGATGTGGCTCAGTGGTAAAGTGCCCCCACTGGGTTCAATCCCAGCCCTGAAAAGGAAAAAAAAAAAAAAAGGAGTTATAATAGCATTAATAACAGCTCATGTTTATCAGTGCCTGATGTATGCCAACTTCTGCTCTAAGCTCTTAATTGTTCCTTTTTAAATTCTCACAACAACCCGATGAGAGGGAGCTGTGATGAGCCCCATTTCACAGAGGAGGAAACTGAGGCAGAGAGATTAAAACCAGGGGCCACTTCAATAGTAAGTGGCAGAGCCCGGATTTGATCCCAGGCAGGGCTTTTGAAGATCCCGGGGGTCTTGGAGTGACAGGTGCCTGAACCCCATTGAGGCTGGTGGTGAGGCTGGGGGCTCTTCTCCTGCCCCAGGCTCTTTCCCTGACGTGCTGTCTTTCTAGGTGCCAAATCAGTGTGTGGAAGCTCCAGTGTACCCCACACCTCCGGTGTACAGCCCTGGCAAACAGGGATTCAAACCGAAAGGACCAAACCCTGCTGTCCCTATGACCAGCGCCACTGGGGGCACAGTGGCCACCTTTGACTCCCCACCAACACTGAAGACCAGACGGGCTAAAGGTGCCAGTGGACTCCCGGAAGGTGGGCCCCCAGCCTGCCATGAGCATCTTCCCTTGGCATTAGCCTATCCGCAGGCTGTTTGGTTCTGGTCTTCCCTTTTGTAATGGTTAGGATTAATTTTGGTTGCATGTAATAGAAAAATCTAAAACAAGTGACTTAAAAAGTGATAGAATTTCTTTTCTGTCTTGGGTAGAACAAGACCAGAAGCAGGCAATCTGGGGATAATGTGACGTGGTCACCAGGCACCCATGTATCTTCTGTCTTTCTGTTCCTCTATCCCCAGAGCATGGCTTCATTTATCAGGGTGCCTCATCATCTAAAATGGCTGCTGGAGCTCCAGTCATCAATTTCATATTCCAGGCAGTAAGAAGGAGGAAGAAAGGAAGGGTAAAAGGGGTACCTCCCAGCTTCCAGAAGTTCTGTATGAGACTTTTGCTTACATCTAATTGGTGAGAACTTAGTCACATGGCCATACCTAGCTGGAAAGGAAGCTGGGAAATGTCTGCTTTAGCTAGGAGCACTGATGTTCCCATTATGTAAGGGAATTTTTGAGGGAAGACGGAGAGAATGGCTGTTAGACAAGTAGTAGTGTCTGTTACCGTCTTGGAGGTGCTGAGTATGGGGTGGGTGACAGTGTCAGAAGCAGGAGGTAGAAGGAGGGAAAGATACTGAGAATTTCCCAGAGGCTTTCCAGTCAACCATTTTTCCTTTTCTTTCCTTCCACAAATATGTGTTGACCTGCGAGCACCAGGCTCCACGTCGGGCACTGGGGGTCTCATATCTTGGTCCACGATGCCTTTGCCCTCAGTTACTCAGAGCTTACTGGGAGAGCGAGACAGGAAATAAATATCTGGGAGTCACTCTAGGAAGGAGATTAGCAGGGTTCTGTGATTCAGGTGCTGGGGAGAGGCTGGGAAGTGCTGCGGTCTGGCTGGGCGTGGTGGCGCACACCTATAATCCCAAGAGTCTGGGGAGGCTGAGCAGGAGGATCTCAAGGGCAAGGCTAGCCTCAGCAATTCAGTGAGGCTCTAAGCAGCTCAGCCAGACCCTGTCTCCACATAAACAATGAAAAAAAGCTGGGAATGTAGCTCAGTGGTTAAGCGCCCCTGAGTTCAGTCCCCAGTGCCCGGGCCCAAATGATGCCACCTGTTCGTCTGGGGAGGGAAAGGAAGCAGCCTTGTGGGTATCTGTGCAAGGGGACCTGCGGGTGCATAGGTCCAGAGATGGGACCTTGCTTGAGGTCTTTCAAGGTTAGTAAGGAGTCCACTGCAGCTGGGTGGAGGGCTGAGAGGTTGAGGAGAATCAGAGGGTGCGGGTGCTGGAGGCCATAGGAAAGGTGGGATTTTCCCCCGGGGCGAGGAGAGCCTTTGAGGGTGCCGTCCTGCTTTCCAGCCAGAGCACTCGCTGGTTTCCCGGGGCACTGGGAGGAGCCCCCCATGCCTCTCGCCCTGCCTGTGCATGGACGTGGCCTTCCTGGGTGTGGGCTGTGTGGCCGCAGGTCCGGGGGATGGGGTGGTCCCCTCAGCGGTGCCCCAGTCTCACCAGCCCCTCCTGGCACTGTCTTTCAGCTGCAGGGAAGCCCAAGGCTCAGCAGCTCAAGTGCTCCTACTGCGACAAGTCCTTCACCAAAAACTTCGACCTGCAGCAGCACATCCGAAGGTAGGTGGGCGAGCCCCTCCTCCCTTTGAGGCTGGGGTCACTTCGGCCGGCCCTCTGCACTGTCACGGTGTGCAGGGCGCAGCCCAGGCCGGGGCGCAGTGCAAGAGGACCATCAGGGTGGGTAGAGGGTGCGGGCGATGTGCTTGAGCAAGAGGGGCTCTGCGCCTGCGTGAGGCACCTCAGTCCTGCGCTGCCCGGGGGAGCTAGCTGCCAGGCCACCTGTGCTGCCTGGGCCACTCGGCTGAACTGGGCCTCTTGTCCTAAGAGCGTGCCCGCCTGTCTAGGCCCGTCTTCCACGTGTGAGTGGAGGGGTGTCGAGAGCTCCGCAGACCTGGGGGTCGTCGGCAGCTTCTTTGCCACTGTGACCACAAGGCCTGATGGGACCTACTGTAGAGGAGGGACCTCACTGGGGATCGGGGTTCCAGAGGTCTCAGCCCATAGGTGGCTGACGCAGAACGTCCTAGCAGAAGGGCGTGGAGGAGGAAGGCAGCTCAGGACATGGCACCAGGAAGCAGAGAGAGCACTGGTCACCAGGAGCAGCATGGAGACCCCAAAGGCAGGCCCTCGGTGACCTCCGTCCCCCAGCCACACCCTACCTGCCTTCAGTCAGCGCCCAGCTGATCACTCAAGTGGATTAATGCATTGATTGGGTTAAGGTCTCCTGACCCAGTTATTTCACCTCTGCACTTTCTTACATTGCCTCACACATGAGCTTTTGGGGATACCACCTCTCCAAACCATAACAGTGACATATGTTGATCCGTGAGGTGATTTAGGTGTTTTATAGACACAGTGTTGAAAAGTTCTAGCCAGGCACAGTAGCACGTGCCTGTAATCCCAGCACCTCGGGAGGCCGAGGCAGAAGAATGGCAAGTTCAAGGCCAGCCTTAGCAATTTAGTGTGATCCCCAGCAACTGAGCAAGACCCTGTCTCAAAGTAAAAAAAATAAAAAAAATTTTGGCCACTGTAGCTTAGGGGCAAAACTCCCTTGGAGTTCAATCCCCAGGACCAAAAAAAAAAAAAAAAAAAAAAAAAAATCTAAAGATGTGATGAGATTATTCCCCTTGCAGTTTCAGCTCTTGGAGAATCGACAGCAACCCTCTCTTTGGTGCTAGACTGTCTGATACTCACACATACCTGCTCTTCTCAGGCCGGGGAGGAGAGGCTGCTTCAGATTCCAACCGTGGCAGGGACGACTTCTTTCCAGACCATGTTTCTGTTGCCTTTAGGGATTTGGAGTCACTCATTCTTTCCTGGTGGCCGAGCTGTGCTTTGTGGACCGTTTAGCAGCATCTTTGACTTCGTTGTTGTCTTTTTTTTTAGGTACCAGGGATTTAAACTGGGGGCACTTAACCACTGACCACATCCCCAGCCCTTTTTATTTATTTTTTTGATACAGGGTCTCATTAAGTTGCTTAGGGCCTCACTAAGTTGCTGAGGCTGGCCTTGTTCTTGTGATCCTCCTGCCTCAGCCTCCTGAGCTACTGGGCTCATTGGCTTGCATGTACCAGCATGCCTGGCAGCAGGCTTGATTTCTTTTCTTTTTTTTTTTAGAGAGAGAGAGAGAGAGAGAGAGAAATTTTTTAATATTTATTTTTTAGTTTTCGGAGGACATAACATCTTTGTTTGTATGTGGTGCTGAGGATCGAACCCGGGCCGCACGCATGCCAGGCGAGCGCACTACTGCTTGAGCCACATCCTCAGCCCAGCAAGCTTGATTTCTAACCATTAGATGCCAGTGACTGCCCACCCCACAGCTCTGACAGCCAAAAATGTCTCCATACATTGCCAGGTCTCTTCTGGAGGGCAAGGTCATCCTCTGTTGAGTATGACCGGTCTATGCTGCTGTTCTCCAGTAGATTTTTCTGTGGTGATGTAAATGCCAACTGGTGCTGTCCACTGTGGGTAGCTCCTAGCCGTATATAGCTGTTGAATTCTTGCAGTGTGTCTAGAACAGCTGAGAAACTGAACTGAAAAAATTTTATTTTAACGAATTTAAATGTAAGTAGCCTTATGTGACTGGTATCCATCTTATTGAACAGTGCATCTCTGGATATTGACATTATTTTAGAATTATTGCAATTTTGATTACTTGGTATTTATGACGAGTAGTTTTTCATATCCAGTAATAATAGGACTCTTCATTTCAGAATTGCTATAATTTTTTAAAAAGTGAGTTGATTTGGGGCTGGGGTCCTAGCTCAGTGGCAGAGCGCTTGCCTAGCATGTGTGAGACACTGGGTTCAATTCTCAGCACCACATATAAATAAATGAAGGTCCATTGACAACCAAAAAAAAAAAAAGAATGAATTGACTTGATAAAGAGTGTCTTTTTCTTTTTTTTTTGGTGCTGGGGATTGAACCCAGTGTTGCTAACCACTGAACCAGGTCCCAAGCCCTTTTTTGTACTTTATTCAGAGACAAGGTCTCACTGAGTTACTTAGGACCTTGCTAAGTTACTGAGGTTGACTTTGAACTTGTGATCCTCCTGCCTTAGCCTCTGGAGCCGCTGGGTTTCAGGCATGTGCCACCATGCCCAACTTGATAAAAAAGAGGTAGAGGTGTTGTGCTTTGGCAGCTATGATGTTTTCTTCAAATAACAGAAGTCCCCATTGAATGGGCTGGAGCAATTAAGAAACGTTTGCTCTCACGATATTAGATATTAGATAGCCTTGGAGCAGGTCAGCTCTAGCGTTGTTGATTCAGCAGCTCAGTAACAGGATCCAGAGCTCAGGGTCTTTCCACCCCTCGTCTGCCTTCCTCAGCCAGAGGATGTATCCACAGGGGGTCAGAGTGTCCACATCATCTGGGCCTGCTCCGTGAGCCTTCCTGCGGCTGGGAGCTCCTGGGCAGAGGCTGGGTCCCCATTCCTACACAGGCAAGCTAACCGGCCTTCTTTCCCCAGCCACACCGGTGAGAAGCCCTTCCAGTGCATTGCGTGTGGCCGTGCCTTCGCTCAGAAGTCCAACGTCAAGAAACACATGCAGACCCATAAGGTGTGGCCTCCAGGGCGCAGTGGTGGCACTGTTTCTCGCAACTCAGTGACTGTCCAAGTCATGGCCTTAGACCCCAGCAGGCAAGAGGAAGAGGAGAATACAGGTGGGTGGATGTGAGGAAAGCCACTCTCCCAGTTCATCACTCCTGCAGCTTTTAGGTTTCTGTTGCCAGCTGTGTGACCTTGAGCAAACTTCCCGACCTCTCTGGGCTTCAGTCTACTTTATAAAAGAGGGCATATGGTGAAAGGAAAGATGACATATGTGAGGCATCACCTTAGCACTGTACCCCGGGCAGACATCCCTAATTAACTACCTGTCTCTTTTTTCATTGAGCCCGAATCCCACCTCACAATTCATTTCGAGTATGTTATTCCAGGCAGTGACTCTGGTTGATTAGGAGTTGAAACCTGGGGACAGTTGGTCTCCAGAGCTCTGTGTATGTTATTGGGTTCTCATTCATTGAAGCTGTCACTTGTTCCAGAGCTAATGCTTCTGTCCCTAGTATTGATTTATTTCTTTTGTGCAGAGGGACTGGGGACTCACTAGGGTTGGAGTGACGCTGTCTAACAGAAGTATAACGTGAGCACCACATAGGGTTAAAGCTTCTCTAGTAGCTACATTAAAATCACTTTAGAAAACACAAAATTAATTTTAATCATATACTTTATTTAGTCCAATATATTATTATTTTAACATGTAACATAAAGAAATTATTGAGGTGTGATTTTTTTTTTTTAATTTTGTTTTGTTTTCTTTTTAAGGGGCTGAGAATTGAACTCGGAGCCTTATGCTCTCTGGGCAAGTGCTCTACCACCTAGCTGTGCTCTCAGCCATATTGAAATGCTTTATATGCTTCTTATACTAATTTTTGAAATCCAATGTGTATTTACTTTTTAAAAAAAATTTTACTGCTGGGCGTGGTGGTGCATGTCTATTATCCCAGTGGCTCGGAGGCTGAAGCAGGAGGATCACAAGTTCAAAGTCAGCCTCAGCAACTTAGAAAGGTCCTAAGCAATTCAGCAAGACCCTGTCTCTAAATAAAATATAAAAAGGCCTGGGGACGGGGCTCAGTGGTTAAACAACCCTGGGTTCAATCCCTGCTGAAAAAAAAAAAAAAAAAATTATTGGTACTTTATAATCATACATGATAGTGGGATTCATTATGCCATGTTTATAAATGCACATAATAAAATTTGCTCAGTCTCCATAGCCGTGTGTATTTACATAGACAGCACATGTGGATTTGGACTGGCCACACTTCAAGTTCTCAGTTGTCATGTGTGACTCACAGTCACTGTGTTGGACAGTGGAGAGCAGAGCCAAAGTCCTTTCCACATAGCACCGAGGGTGAGCAATGCCAACCACATGACAGCTGCTGAATGGGGACTTTTGCTGGGTGACAGTGTGTGGCCACTTTTGTCCGATTGGCCATCGGGGCTTCCTGTTGGAACATGCCCTGAGTTCTGTGAGCTCCGTAGAGAAGGAACCCTTCTCCCAGTGCTTTCGTAACCCTGACAGTGCCTAGCACCAAAGGTTCCACCACTGAGCAAATTTTTATGGAGCCTACTGTGCATCAGGTCACACAGAGATGAGGTCAGAGGTGCAGGGGAGTGAGGAGCAGTCTAGTGAAGAAAGTCAATGAAGCAATGATTGTAATGGGAACAAGGGCCTGGAGAGGCAGGAGTGAGCGAGGAGCGTGTGCAGGGTGTTCACAGAGCACAGAGACGTGGGCGGTGTCTCAGGTGAAGGCCAGGAGGGGAGGCCAAGGCCAGGAGGGGAGGCCAAGGCCAGGAGGTCCGCCTGAGGCCTTGCTTGTGCGCCTCCAGCCTGGCTGTGCTGGTGCACACCTGCTGGCTGTGACTGTGGACCTGAGGATATTGTGCCACACCAGGTGCGTGGCAGTCGGCAGGGGAAACCCGGAGGAGTGTGCAGTAGGTGTTCTGAGTCCCACCTGAATGTGTGGCTCCTGGTTGGAGCCTTAATCGGCTTCTCGGTGACTTCCTCCCCTGGCTTCCTCCACAGGGCTGGGCCAGAGCCTGTCGAGTGCGCCCCCGCAGCCCCAGGCCTTGCCCGCTGTTGGTGAGGCAGAGGGGGACAAGCTGGGGCCCGGGCAGGTGGTCCTCATCGACAGCTCCTACCTGTGCCAGTTCTGCCCCAGCACGTTCAGCACCTATTTCCAGCTCAAGTCCCACATGACGCAGCACAAGAACCAGCAGGTAGGCCTGTGGCGGGCGGCAGTGGCCACGGCCGTCATCAGGAGCCTTGGCCAGTGCTGGGGTCTTGAATGCTGTCCTGAAGGGACAGGACGCAGTCACAATGTTTTCTGCAGCTTGGTCCCATCCCTTCTCTTTCCTTAGGGGAGATTCTTAGGGGTGTTGGTGGAGTAAGTCCGGTCACCCTAGGGCAAATCACAGAGACCTTAAACAGTTGAGAAGTCTGTCATCTGTGGCACAAGAGGCCTGAGATAGGGTGACAGGTGACTCAACCAATTTCCTCCTCTGGTTGCCACCATTGTCCTCTGCCGTGGCTCTCCTTGCCTTGCTGGATGGTGGCCACTCTTCCTAGGCAGCAATTCAATCATATTATTTGGAAACAATGGAAACCTTTTTTTTCTTTCATTGAATTTTACTTATTTTTTGCTGTGCTGGGGGTTGAACTCAGGGCCTCGGGCTTGCTAGGCAAGCAGTCTGCCACTGAGCTATGTCCCCAACCATGGAAACCTTGAGAGCAGCAAGGAAACCTTTCCTAGAGGCATTCTGTAGATCTCTGATTATCCAGAGCCAGTGCCTGTGCTCTGTCATTGAGAAATGTGTTACTATGCCGCAAATAAGAGGAAATTGGATTAATATTAAGAGTTTAATTTCCCTCACATCAGAAGCCCATACGTAGGTAGAGCTGGGCTTGCATAGCAATTCAAACATGGTATCATGGACCAGGATTCTTCCAGCTCCTAGCTTTCTTCTCTTCTACCTTAGCTGGTAGCGTACTTTCTCAAGGTGACAAAATAGCTACTATATCTCTGTTCATCACATCTATATTCCAGTCAGGACAAATGCAAAAGGTAGAGGGGATTTCTCTTAGGAAACTTTTACCTTTTCATTCTGGGAGGGGTGCCATCCTAAAAGACTGCTGCCTACATATCATTGTCAAAAAGGAGTCACGAGGCTGACACTAGATTCACGGAAGCCAGGGGAATCCAGTGTTTGAAGTAGGTATGTTGTTACCCTGAGTAAATTGGGGTTCATTTTGTTGGAAAGAAAGAGTGTGTGATATTATGTGGGCACCCCACAATATACTTATCAAAATATAGTTTTCAAAATGCTAGAAACATACCTTTTCTACAGATGAGACCCTGGATATAAGTCAGAATTTTACTTATTAAAGTCGGTTCAAAAGAACATCCATATACAAGCTGGGCACAGTGGTGCACGCTGTGATTTCAGTTCCCCGGAGGCTGAGGTGAGAGGATGGATCATAGTTCAAGGCCAGCCTGGGCAACTTAGCAAGACCCTGTCTCAAAAAATAAAAAGGGCCACGGGTGTAGCTCGGTGGTAGAGCAGCTGGGTTCAGCCCTCAATGCCACAAAATCAATCAAATCAAATCAAGTAAAACTAAGCAAAGCAAACCAGGGCTCCGGCAGTAGGGAGCGGGGCAACGTGGTCAGGTACCCACCAGCAGTGCCCCAGGCTGGTGTCACAGATTCCTACCGCCCCCCCCCCAGCCGCCTCCCCTCATTCCCGAGTCTCCCCTCAAGGTGTACAAGTGTGTGGTCAAAAGCTGCGCCCAGACGTTCCCCAAGCTTGACGCATTTCTGGAACACATCAAGAGCCACCAGGAGGAGCTCAGCTACCGCTGCCACCTCTGTGGCAAGGACTTCCCCTCGCTGTACGACCTGGGCGTGCACCAGTACTCCCATAGCCTCCTGCCGCAGCACAGCCCCAAGAAGGACAGTGCCGTCTACAAGTAGGTGCCTCCACCTGCCATCCCAGTGCACAGGGCGGGGCAGGGGACAGCGCAGGGGGGCCTGTGTCCTGGTGAAACACCTCAGGAGGAAGCGAGGCTCAGCCTCGGGCGAGTTTGCATGTTGGCACAGCTGGGAGCCAGTGCTGCCCTGCTCACGTGGCTTCCGACTTGGTGGACATTCACTAGAGACAAGGACACCCTGAAAAAGGGGACCTCGCGGGGCGGGGCTCAGTGGCAGAGCGCTTGCCAGCAAGTGCAGGGCACTGGGTTCCATCTTTAGCACCACATGTAAATAAATAAAATAAAGTCCGCTGATAGCTAGAAAAAAAATATTTTTAAAAAAAGGAAACTAATATCTCTTCTTTTGTAATGGGAAAAAGGTTTGATTGTTTTTTCTAAACTAAAAAATTCAAACAAGCACATGTTGGAAAGCAAAAATCCTAAAAATAAGATTTGTTGGTTTAATGATCTGTTAAATGTGGGTTAAAGTTGGAGCTGGGTGCTGATTCTTGGGATGGATAAGGAGTGAACCTCGTGTAGGTGGACATGGGGTGACTTTTCAGATCCCCCTTCCCATCACTTGAGTCTTGCTTTGAGTCATTAAGAAGATCCCCCCGGGGGCCTCGTGCTCATCCTTAGATCCTCAGGTAGTTCTCCTTGGGGTGTTGGGCCTGTGGTGGTCCTTTGGAGGGCTCCCCGGCTGCTGTCCAGGCCCTCTGCCAGGCGCTCCCCTCTAGTGGGCGTTTTCTGCAGACACGCACTTCCCACCTTTCCCCATCCTGGGCTTTGGCCCTGCAGGTGTTCCTCTGTACATTTGCCTGTAATCCTGTGCATGGGGATGGGGCCTGGGAACCTAGAGGGATGTCTGTCTGGAGGCCATTTGTACATTTCTCTGTACAAACTTGTACCTTCTAGGGACTTGGTTGGTGACTTCCATTAGCCCTGGAACTCCTGGGTGAGGCTTCTGAGATTTAGAGATAAATAAACACAGGCCTTGAGGTTAGAAAGCACCGTTGCTCAGGGAGAAACACTGTTCACTGTGATAAAAGGCTGACCTGTTAGTCCCAAAGTTTGGTCAAGGAGCAGATGGCCATCAGCCAAACCCGAGGGTGGAATGGTGTCATGGGTAATGTAGGGCTCTGGAGCCACTACCTGTGTTAGGATCCCATTAACTGCAAGCCTTATGGACGAGTGCAAAGCACTCAGCTACCGAGGGCCTCAGTTTCCTCATCTTTTAGATGGGGATCATGATAGTGCCTACCGTGTTGGACCCTTTATGATCTAGAAAGATAGGCATGAGGCATGTGGACATGGTGCCTGGAGCATCGTGGGTCTCAGTGAAGTTGGTTGCTACAGTTATTGGATTACTTCAGTGTAGGTTTGGCACAATAGAGACCCAGAGTAATGGTAACTGAAACAGGTGAGAATTTCTCTAATATTGGAGCAGGTGTGGCGCCTTCATATTTTCAGAGGTCCAGGCCTGTCCGAGCCTGTGGTTGCTCTGTTCCTTGGGAGTCACGTAGCCTTGGCCTGCCTGTGAGTACCTCCCCAGAGCTCGGAGGTGCATCTTACATCTGCTGCTGTATTTATGCTATATGTATTTTGCATGTTTAATTTTTTAAATTCTTTTTAGTTATACATGAGAGTAGAATGTGTTTTGACATATCAGACATGGATATGACTTCCCATTCTTGTGATTGTACATGATGTGGAGTTACGCTGGTCATGTATTCATATAAGAACATAGGAAAGTTATGTCTGATTCATTCTACTGTTTTTCCTATCCCCACATCCCCTCCCCCATTACTTCCCTCTGCCTAATCTAAGGTGACTCTACTCTTCCCTAGTGCCCCTCACCTTATTGTGAATTAGCATCCGCATATTAGAGAAAACATTCAGCCTTTGGTTTTTTTGGGATTGGCTTATTTCACTTAGCATGATATTCTCCAGCTCCAACCATTTACTGGCAAACGCCAGACTTTCACTCCTTTTTTAAGCTGAGTAGTATTCCATTGACTATATATACCACATGGTCTTTATCCACTCATCTATTGAGGGACACCTAGGTTGGTTCAATAGTCTAACTATTGTGAATTGAGCTGCTATAAAAATTGATGTGGCTGCTGATTTTAAGTCCTTTGGATATAAACCAAGGAGTGGGATAGCTGGGTCCATACTGCTTTCCATAGTGGTTGCACCAATTTGCAGTCCCATCAGTAATGTATGAGTGTACCTTTTCCCCATTTATTTTTCATTTTACTTCTTGCATTTTACGAGTCTTGTTGAGGAATTCGGTTCCTAAGCTGACATGGAGATTTGGGCCTACTTTTTCTTCTAGTAGGTGCAGGGTCTCTAGTCTAATGCCTAGGTCCTTGATCCACTTGAGTTGAGTTTTGTGCAGAGTGAGAGATAGGGGTCTGATTTCAGTTTGCTATGTATGGATTTCCAGTTTCCCCAACACCATTTGTTGAAGATGCTGTTTTTCCTCCAATGTATGTTTATGGCACCTTTGTCTAGTATGAGATAACTGTATTTATGTGGGTTTATCTCTGTGTCTTCTCTTCTGTACCATTGGTCTTCATGTCTGTTTTGGTGCTGATACCATGCTGTGTTTGTTACTATAGCTCTGTAGTTTAATTTAAGCTCTGATGTTGTAATGCCCCCTGCCTCACTTTTGTTGCTGAGGATTATATATTTTTTTGGTGGGGGGGATGCACTGGGAATTGAACCCAGGGCCTTGTGCATGCTAGGTGGATGCTCTACCAATGAGCTGCTTTCCCAGCCTTATATTTTTATTTTCAATATAAGGAGTATCACCAGGTGTAGTGGTGCATGCTTGTAATCCCAATGACTTGAGAGGCTGAGGCAGGCAGATCATAAGTTCAAGGCCAGCCTCAGCAACTTAGTAAGACCCTGCCTCAAATGAGAAATAAAATAAGAAGATCTGGGGATGTAGCTCAGTAGTAAAGTGTGCCTGATTAAAAAAAATATATATATATATATATATAGACACACCCATACACACATGCATGTTACATTATATGAAACTTATATGCATATGTAAGTTACATATATATGTAATTGATTTTTTCCTTCCTGATTGCAGAAGTCATCCATGTTTAATACCGAGAAAAAGGATTTGGGGTGGGGGCAGAACTGGGGATTTAACTCAAGGGTGCTGTACCTTTAAGCTTCATTCCCAGCCCTGCCCCACCTCCCCCTGGAGATTGAACCCAGGGCCTTGTGCATGTGAGGCAAGCACTCTACTAACTGAGTTATGTCCCCAGCCCTCCCAGCCCTTTTTTAAAATTTTATTTTGAGACAGGGTCTCACCAAGTTGCCTAGGCTGACCTTGAACTTGTGATCCTCTGCCTCATTCTCCTGAGTTGCTGGGATTACAAGTGAGTGCCATCATGCCTCCTGAGAAAGGATTTTTAAAAAACCTTACACAGGAGAAAACTCACAATGCCTATCACCCAAAGATAACCACTGTTAATCTCTTGGTGTATTTTGGTATATATCTGTAATGTATACGATTATAGATATAGATACAGATATACACATCACACACACACACACACACATTGAGTCTGGTAATCCTAAACATGGTCATAGGATTTGGTGAAAATTCATCACGCCATCTTTCTATTGTGCAGCTTATGACAAATGGACTGAAACTTAGAGGGATTCCTCTGTACCTTCAGTGTTGTTATTTTTAAAAATATATATTTTAACAGGATATGGTGGTAAATACCTGTAGTCCCAGCTACTCAGGAGGCTGAGGCAGGAAGATCACAAGTTCAAGTCCAGCTGGGCAGCACAGAAAGACTCTGTGTCTTACACACACACACACACACACACACACACACACACAGTGCACATGCTTATATATGTAGTATAAATTTTATTTTTGATTAACATATTGTACACATAAATGGTGTTTAGTGTGATATTTTAACACATGCATGTAGTGTTCACTAATCAATTCCAGCCTCCCTTTATCCACTCTTCCCTTGTGTTATCATTTCAACCTTTAAACTATAAAACTTAAACTGTAATATAGACATCGCTACTTTTCAGCATAAGCAGATCTGCCTCATTCTTTTAGACAGCTGCTGAGTATTCCTTTGCACATGGATGTGCTATAACTTATTTAAACCATCCCTCATTCCTAGATAATTGGTTATCTCCAGTTGTCATTATTATAAACAGTACTACAGGGAATAACTTTGGACATACATCTTTACTCATTTGTAAGTTCCTAGAAACAATTTTGCAAGTCAGAGACCCATGGGGGTTCTAAAAAAAGATTAATTGCCCCCTTCAAAAACTAATTGTTATGTGCAAATAGTACAATATTTAAAAACCATAAATGGGCACAGAGTGAGTAGGAATTCCTTATCTACCCTGACCCACTTCTCCACATTGTAACAGGAACTTAGAGAAGGTGCTTTTGCTAACAGCACTGATTCTTCATTTAGGCCTTCAGGTGCCCAATGGGGAACTAAAAGCATGATAAAACCTGGCTTCTCTGCCTTCATTTGTATCTGTCTCCTTTATCACCTTAAACTTTGTGACCTGCTCAGCTCTGCATTAGGCATGTTGATTCTTTAAGGAGTGTTCATTTAAAAGCTAGCAATATAAGGTTTATTAGCCCTAAATTACCTAAACCGTCTTGTCTCCTTTCAAGTCTGAGGAAAGATCTGTAGGGACATTTGAATTTCATCCTGTTTCAGAACCTTGGAGTGGTGCCTAGAAATCTCCAGTCTTGAGCTGGGGATATAGCTGTTGGTAGAGTGCTTGCTTCTCATGCACAAGGCCCTGGGTTCAATCCCCAGCACCACACTCACACCCCCCCCCAAAAAAAAAAAAGAAAGAAAAGAAAAAGAAATCTCCAGTCTACCCCATACCTTCCAGAAAGAGTGGAATCTTGCAGACACATCACCCATGATGAGACTGCCCCCTAAGCAGAAGCACTTGTCTCATAGGAACCAAGTTAC